ACTTTTGCGGTCAACTACCGCAGCGCTCGTAAAGTACTTTAATTAAAACCGTATTCAAAACCCTGTAGGAAGTCTGTTTATTTTTGAGTCGATTAATGCACTGCTGACTTTCACGAGGTCAACTTTTGCATAAATTATCAAACATTATGTTAAGCGGGAAATCTACCTATGGTTCGCGGGAGAAGCAACTTCTATCGCGGCGCAAGACAAATGTTTCAAGAGTCGAGGATGTGCTCACAAACTATTCACTATGCGACGAAAGGAGAAATCACTGGCATGATAGCTGCATGTAATGGTAATTTTATCAACCCAGGTCGCGCCGTGTTCGCTCGAGAACGCTGTGACAACCTCGTTTGGCGCGCTTCTCAATACTTCCAAAACATGTTGTAATCGGTAAGTAGACTTAAGCACTTAGTATCGCCAAGCCATTCGAATCAGTGTATACCCAATTCTTTGTCTGAAGATTCTCGCAAACACATATACCAAGTAAATCTGGATGGAAGAGGAAATTGTCTCCCTAAACGCAGCCAGATTATATTTTGAAGGATGGCGGCACAATTCAACGCGTCTTCCAGGTCAGCCCTAGTAGTTCGTAAGAGTATAAATTGCGATCTCCCTATTTTCGCTTAAGCTTTCTTTGATAAAACTTCAGTACAAACAAAACAACGCAGACATGACATTCTCCTGCATGAGACACAATCGGCTGAAGGAAATATCTGTTTACAAGTCGGGTAAATTATCCATTCTTGCGCACCGCAAAATCAGCTAAAATCGGTCGCTGGAAACCTGGCATATTATTAAGCCTGAGCGCTTCTAAGAATGGAGAGTTTAAGATTCCCGTTTACGGCAAACGGCAAACGCCAGATTTAAGTTGAGAACTTCTCAGAATAGAAAATAAGAAGATAAAAACTGTTTAGAACAATTTTTACGGATAAAACTAACGTGAAACTACTTATTTTTGAGTAGAAGTAATAAACAGTACACGACAATTAAGGGAAAAACTTGGTCACGTGGTACAAATTCACGTTTGCCGTTTGGCGTAAACGTGAATCTTAATCTCTCTAATAACACGTTTAAAACTTCGACGCGTAGAAAAAAAGGCAGTTGTTCTATATCCTATCTGGTTCATCCAGGTAGAAGTCCTGGCATATTATTATGCCTGAGTGCTTCTAGGATATATAACACGTTTAGCATTTCAACCCGTAGCCGTAAAAAAACAATTAGGTAGTTGTTCTATATCCTTTCTGGTTCATCCAGGTAGAAGACCTGGCATGATATCATTATGCCTGAGCGCTTCTAGGATATATAACAGGTTTAGCATTTCGACCCGTAGCCATAAAAAAAAAATTTAGGCAGTTGTTCTATATCCTTTCTGGTTCATCCAGGTAGAAGTCCTGGCATGATATCATTATGCCTGAGCGCTTCTAGGATATACAACACGTTTAGCATTTCGACCCGTAGCCGTAAAAAAAAAAAATTTAGGCAGTTGTTCTATATCCTTTCTGGTTCATCCAGGTAGAAGTCCTGGCATATTATTATGCCTGAGCGCTTCTAGGATATATAACACGTTTAGCATTTCGACCCGTAGCCGTAAAAAACAATTAGGTAGTTGTTCTATATCCTTTCTGGTTCATCCAGGTAGAAGTCCTGGCATGATATAATTATGCCTGAGCGCTTCTAGGATATATAACACGTTTAGCATTTCGACCCGTAGCCGTAAAAAAAAAAATTTAGGCAGTTGTTCTATATCCTTTCTGGTTCATCCAGGTAGAAGTCCTGGCATCATATCATTATGCATGAGCGCTTCTAGGATATATAACACGTTTAGCATTTCGACCCGTAGCCGTAAAAAACAATTAGGTAGTTGTTCTATATCCTTTCTGGTTCATCCAGGTAGAAGTCCTGGCATGATATCATTATGCCTGAGCGCTTCTAGGATATATAACACGTTTAGTATTTCGACCCGTAGCCGTAAAAAAAAAAAAACTAGGCAGTTGTTCTATATCCTCTCTGGTTCATCCAGGTAGAAGTCCTGGCATATTATTATGCCTGAGCGCTTCTAGGATATATAACACGTTTAGCATTTCGACCCGTAGCCGTAAAAAAAAAATTAGGCAGTTGTTCTATATCCTTTCTGGTTCATCCAGGTAGAAGTCCTGGCATATTTTTATGCCTGAGCGCTTCTGGGATATATACGGCCTAATTGCAATAACGTTGTCATAGAAAAAAGCAAAAAGCAAAAAGCAAAAAGCCAAATAGGAATTAATTAGTCATGTGATTTACATTTGCGTATTTTAATAATATAACAATTATTTAAGAAGTCAGTCACAATAACAAGAAATAATTCTGTAATTCCGCGCTGTAAGATTCCGCAGATGAAACACTGATGTGTGTAACAAAAGGGTCCTGACAAACGAAGCTTAGTTTGTGGCGCGGGAGAGGGACTGGCTGAGGAACGCCTCACCCTCTCCGCGATGGAAAGTCCTGCGTACGCTCCTGATTTGTTGCTTGAAAATTGTGATCTGATGGTGTGGTGCACTACAAACCATACGCAGACTGGCTTTTCTATTTAGCATTAAACGAAAAGACGCGTCGCGTTCCTGGAATTTACCCTAGGCTATATTTATTGAAAAAAAAAAATGGAGCCATTTTTTCTTTAGTAGTTATCCGATGTACGTTTGTAATTAGAGCACGTTTGAAATCCGCTAGATGAATCAGCCTCGAATTGCATTAGAATGAGACCAAGAAACTGATGCAAATGATTTCTCTCATGTTACGTGATTTAAAATATTCAGCTATAAGCGTGTGTGTTGGGAATGTTGCAAGCAATGATAATTAAATGCTAATTTATTCCTATTTGGCTTTTTGCCTTTTGCTTTTTGCTTTTTGCTTTTTTCTATGACAACCTTATTGCAAATAGGTGTAGTAGCAGTTTGACCCGCAGAAAAAACAAACTCAGCCGTTCATTTTGTAGGAGATATTTAAGCGTTTTTGTCTGTGTTGGCAATGTGATCGACTTTATGCGCAGACCTTAATAATATGTTTTTTTCTTTGACGGCACTGAATAATTTTAGCCGAAACCTGAGCCGTACATTTGTTGAATGCCGCGCTTTAATTAAATTTCTCGCCCTAGAATGATGACATGATGGCGCGAAAATTGACGCCTCTATCGTATTACATAAGAAATATGATCAGAGATAAATGGAACAGTGAATGTTAACAAGCTTCTGAGTATCCAGCTGAGATAGGGCTATCTCAGCTAGATAAACAAAATTTTTTTGGTTGCTAAGACGGTGCGGCTCGTTATGAATACAACAACATAAAAGAAAATAAGATAAAAAGCTCAGGTCAACTACTTTGACCTACTGCAAGTATGTTAATTAATAAGCTTTAATAAGGTGAACGATGATGCATGTCAGTGAAATGGTCATGATGTAGTAATCTCAATAGGTGGGATCTTTTTTATTGAACGCTTTGTATGTTGCATGACGAAGAAAAGCTGAGCATTCAGTGACCTTGTAGCAGCAATTTCCGCCGCTTTGCACGAGACGTTTGTTCGTACTAAATACGCTAACAGTGTTTCTCAGTTTTTGTTATATTTATAAATATTTTGTTCGACAACTGAAGTTTGATATTTTTCTTCTTCAAAATACTGTCGGCACCGAAAATGTTACTCTTTCAAGAATTGCGTTGCGTTACTACCGTGATTCTGTGACTGTCATTTTGACGGCACCGTCTCTTCAAACGTACGTTATGACAGGTACTGTCACGGAAGAGATTGTCACGCGGAGTCGCCGGCTGGTAGAGTTCAGTGTCTCAAAATGTCTAAAATAGACCCAGTTTCACCTTGTTACTCCACTCTTTGATTGAAATAAGCAACTTTGCAATGGGGAAACCTACAAGAACTAAGAAAAACGAGCCTTTAGGCTGTAAGTTTCTGCTTTTGTGCATTTCGAAATTGGAAGTGTTTACACAATTACCGTCGGCCCACCATGAAAATTCCTGAACTTCGATGGTGTCTTACAGAGATTTCCTTCAATAACCCAAGCCAATTCCCAGGTATGTTTTTAATGAATGTCTAAATGTGTGATTTAAATAGCATGAAGAGAATTTGGAGTTATACCACATGTTAAATATTGCCGTCGATAATGAGTAACGAACTTAAGTTTTTGTTATCCTGAAAACCTATCCCTCATTTTTGAATTATTTCAGTACGACGAGCTTCGCTATTGCCCTGAAAATATGTTCTAGTGGAAGAAAAAGAATTTTTCTGTTCGTGGAAAGTGTCCAAATTTCTCCATACGGCTTCGTTTGCGAACGCTAGGAAAGTTGATGTTAGCGAATTTCAGGTTAAAAATTAGGGCAGTCTGAGATTTCGACATCGAAAACCGATCTTCTAGTTTTTCTTACAAACAAGAAGACGCCCGAAGGCGCTTACGCGGGATGTGTGGGTTTAAGAAAGAATTACGGGTATGTTGGATGGAAATGGAAGTTGAGTAGTGTATGCAACAAATGTGTGCAGGAGAGACGGAGATGTTCTGTTAAGAACTAATACACTAGAAGATGAGTTACACACAAGGGTTCCTTTGCTACTCAAAACAAAACTTACATCAATTTACCACCATTGTTAGGAGTGGGTGGTTCACTAAAATTTGCATTCCTTTATTAATGTCCTCAAAAAATGCACTTCCACATTTAACAATAGCATGTAATGTATCATACTTCCAATAACTACAGGGCTGCAAGGAAGTGCTCTAGGGAAAATTTCAGAGACCCCTTTGGGCTCCCCAAGCATTTTTAGCTGGGGTGCCCGGGCCTCTAAGTTGGTCGCCAAATTAATAACTCAGTGAGCTGTTAGTTAATTATGAAAAATTAAACAAATAATTTTCTTAACAAGTCAAGCAGAATTTTGTGAATATTTTTTTCATGAAAAATCACATCCCTTTGACCTCCTGAGCGTGCGAAAAAAAAAAAACCCGCATGTTGTCATATGAAAGTAAGGTTCAGGAAAGACAACGTGGGTCAACAAGCAAGTGAGTGATAATCCAGACAAGAAGTACAATGTCCTTGGTACCAACTCAATCCTGGAAAAGATGAAGGTACTGTATGTTGGGACAATTATTTTAGACAGAACAATTTTAGACTGAACATCAGTTTTAGACGGAACATCAGAAAGAAAGGCTTGACTTCTTTTATTGAGGGCACATGCACCAATTTATTGTAACTTATGTATCACTCAACCATGTTTGCAATGGAATTTTATCACTTTTCAACTAAATAACTATAAATTCGTGAATATTTTGAATATCAGTTCTTCTTATGCGACATTAAATTTTTCTCGAATAGATTTTCATTGTGAACCCTCTCTGTTTTTAAAATGATTATAAATTTTAAAATAGATTTTTATCAGTTGTAGCATCCTTGTTTTAATTAATCAATCAATTTTTTTTTATTTTGTATTAATTGGAATGTTCTTTTAGTGTCCACAATTAACTAATACATAGCTAAATACTCTGAAACTTAAAGAAAGTTCATTGTTAACATGAAGCTGTTAACATGAGAATGGCCTTTCTTCTCAGTGCTTCCATGTGTACGTAAACAACTGTTTTGGGCTTTTTCAGAACAATTGACTGAATTCTTAGAGAATCAAGTGGTTCATTATTTATATTTGACAATGAAATAGAACATTCAGAAAAAAATTCCAGTCAATGTTACTCTGAACAGAAGATTAATTGTAGGAAAAAGGAAATTGTTCAGATTTTTAGAAGGTTTGTCAATTATTTTGAAGGTTAAATAACAGTGTTTGATCGGCAAAGGAAAGTCAGTCGTGTTCCAGTTATGAGTAGTATCATGAAACCAAGGCTTTGATACATGTAAATCAAGATTCTGCCGTGATTGTATTGTATTGTATTTACCGCCTTTGTTTTTAGATCCTGGGAGTGGCTAGGAAGAGAGATGTAGGTGGATATAGTAAGCTGATGGACAAGGCTGCAAAATGCTTACACCGATTATTTGAACTTGCTCCCACTAAGAAGAGAAACTACATTCTGGACCAGGTAAAATATATTTATTCACTGTGTATTCCTCATTTATTTTGTCAGTAACTTATAATGTGTATCAGGTAAATAGCAACTCACAGACTCACCTTGCTTAGAATAATGCTAAAGCTGTCATTAAGGGCTGAGGGCCGGGGATTTCCTCTGGCTACTATGAAGTTGGCCTGAGCTACTTTCATTAAGAAGATGAAACAAAGATAGAACCAAAGGACATACCTATCTTATCCTGGAAATGCCAAAACCTTCTTGTTGTATTTACCCAGAGACTTAAAATCTTAGTGGCAGCCCTGATGCAACTTTTTAAGTATAACATTTTGATGCAAGTCTTGAAACACAATAAATTTTCATTGTACTCTCTACACTGTATTTTTCATTAACACGCAGTCATGTACAGTAGTATAGCATCTCTGAAAACGTCATTTTCCTCAAAATGACAACTTTTTATTCCTTTTTGATGGTGATTACTGTTTTTCAACCTTAAAAGTGATGTCATAGAAATATTGGAATTAAATATTGAAGCTGTTTTATTAACCCATTCGCTCCTGGAGATTTTGGTGAAAAACGCGTTTTGAAGCTAGTCGAGTGGTTTTCTGGTCACTGTCGTGCTATATTAAGAGCTAAAACTTACCACAAACCGGTTTACAGGTCGTACACTTGGCGGCCTTCTGATCCAGATGCAAAATGTCAGCTTGCGAAGTTCGGGCATGCGCAGAAAGCAAAATTTCGACATAGTTTTTGGGTTTAAAAGTGACACAGCAGTCTTGACTTTTACTTTTCGCTTTCTCTCCTCCCTTCTTTTTTCGCTTTTCTTGCCTCATTTTTTTTTTCTCTTGCTGGGCATTTAGTAGGCTTCATTTTGGTGGGAAGAGTTTTTAGGAAAGCTTTTAGGATCTTAGGATTAGGTGAAAGGAAAGGTAGGTGGGTAATGGAACAAGATTTTCATGGAGATCTTCAGGTCCTCGTCACGTGGTTTTTTGCTTCTTTCTCCGGTGTCCTTGACTGAATTGTGCTCATTCTGGTATGGTTTGAAAGATCTCTTCACTCTACACACGTGTGCGAAGAAAGTTGTCCTTGACCGTTAAAACTGATGACGTCACAAAGGGTAGAAAGGACCTGGATCCGCACGGGCGGTTACGGGCGGTTCAGGGGCGAATGGGTTAATTAAGGACAGACCCTCAGAATAATTAAGAGGCGGGAGGAACGGGAGGGCAGGCAAAGTACATGTTTATGGCTACCAAAAAAATAATATTAATGCAAGGGAAAATTAACCAAGGATGAAGGAAAATGTTAACAAAAAATATTTATGCTGGTCGAAATGCCCCCACCCCAGCCATAACTTTCCTAATGTTCCACCTCTGAGAAACAATATTGTTTTTTGTATTCTTACCCCATCACAAAATAAAATTTTAAAAAACAATGGCTTGTTAATGAGCTGGGACCCAGGGAAGGGATGTCACTAAGATTTCAAGTAGGCGGGGAATAAAACAGCTAGGGATTTCTTTTAGTGCTATGCCACATTCATAGTAACAGGCTTACCAATTCTATTGTTATAAAGAGGCAATTAGTTTTTGATAACCCTTTTAAACTGTTTGAATGTTTGTTTTAGACCAATGTGTACCTCTCTGCTCAAAAAAAGAAGATTCGCCCCTTTGAAGGATTCAGCCGAAAAGCAATTGTATGCATTCCCACTCAAGAGGAGCTTCGAAAAAGAACAGAGGATAGAAAGAAAGAAGGCATTGAACTGCCTGAAAATGCTGTCAGTGACATGAAAAGTATGATGTTTCTCACTTTGTTTTGGACATGTTAAACATGTAGTAATTCCCAACTGGAAGAAGTAGCAAATTAGAGCAGTGTATCAATATTATGTTGTAATGAATGGAGATTTATTGTCTACGTTATTACCCATCGTGTCATCTACAAACCTTTAATTTAGTAGTTTGAATTTCATTTATGCATGTTTTTTTTTAATTCTTATTTTCTAAATTTTCTTTTCTACCCTTTTATTCCAGTGAGTTTCACCCTTCCCAAAGTTGGAGAATTCTTTGATGAAGTTGTCTATGCTGACCAGCCTGAGAGCAAAGCTAAAACCATTGTTGATGAATACATCAAAGAAGGTCGTAGCTACAGAAGTCGCTCAGGTTCAGGCTCTGAACCCCCTTTCAAACGCTCAAGATTTGAAGACAGGTCTCCACGCCATGGAGGTTACTCCAGGGACAGAAGTTATGGTGATCATGGTGGATACAGACGAGGTGGAGGAGGCGGCGGCGGCGGTGGGTCCTACCAACGGTTTGGTGGTGGCCGTCCATATCATGGAGGAGGAGGAGGTGGTTACCGTGGTGGTCGTGGAGGAGGATATCATGATCGACGAGATCATCGAGGTGGAGGAAGAGGTATAATACATGTAATTCTGCAATGAGTAGTATGGCCAATCTTGTTTTGGTCTATTTGTAAGCAAGGCGGAGCCTTCACTTTCTTCCTCCCAATTGTCCCTATAATCACAAGAAAAATACTAAACAAAATACGCACTAAAACATAACAGTTTTTAGAACTGCAGCAAGCGCTAAGTGAACATTTATATATATATTTTTTTTCCTGGTGGCCATTTGGTTACTGTACATGTACATTTAGAGTGCGTTATAGGAAAAGCTTGGTTTCTGCTTTTGTTAAGGTTTCTCTGGATCTCTTTCTGATAACTTTTCAGCCTGGAAAAAATAATGGATTCTTGTATTGGAAAAAAGAAGAAGACAGTCTTGAATTTTATATCCAACATCTCTATGAAACCTGATTTAGAGCATGTTAGAGAATACGTGACCGTTTTGGTATCATTTGCTGGAAAGGTAATTGGTTGGAAAAGTAAATGGAACACTGCCTTTTGAGTTGTTCTAGTGAATAATAGTGCTGTTTTCCCCTGTGGAATGTTCCAAATTTGAAATTTGAAATTATTTTGTTTTCTGTTAATTTTTTCAAAAATATCCTTGACACCAAGCTTGTGCAAGAAAAATTAACCAGTCCTAATTTTTGTTTATCATTATTTTACCAAACCATGTACTGACCATAGCAGTTTGCCCATGTAAATTTGCAAAAGTGACTGGAGTGTTAAATAGAGAATTTGTGGTAATTGGTATCAACACAAGTTTTTCTTTTTTTCCTTAGGGGGTTATGGTGGTGGAGGTTATGGTGGCAGTGGTGGTTATCGTCAGCATCAATCTTCGTACCGTCAAAATCAGTCATATCAACAGCACAAGCCACGTAACCAACAGAACTACAACCAGCACAGCTACAATCAGCACCAACAAACAGGATTTCAGTCAAATTACAACCAACAGCAGCAACAGCAACAGTATGGTACTGGGGCATACAACCAATACTACAGCTACAACCAGGGATACCAGGCAGCCACAGGTTACCAACAAACAGGCTATCAACAACAAGCATATGGCCAAACAGCACAGCAGGGTCAGCAACAGCCTCAATACCAGAATTACCAGAGCTATTACGCTGGATATCAACAGCCACAGCAGCAAACAGGATTCGGTGGTTATGGGGGCACTGGGTATTAGAAGATTGCACAGAGTTTGTACCTAGGAAAATCAGCACAACTTTGCTGTTGATCTTTTTGTTTTAATTTTTAGGTAGTATGGGGAGTTGTCAATCGGGGGTATACAGTAGTTATATCAGTGGACAACTTGTCTAACTTTCTGAGCATTGTTGGTCAGATCTGTTAGTTCAAATTAAGACTCCCTCTGGTAGTTCAATTCAGCAGACTGTTATAGTTGCTTTCCAAATTCCCGAATAAACTGTAGCCCGTGCATTTTTATAGTAGCTAGCGCTGTATTTTTTGTGCTAATCATCCTTTGAACAACTTGGTTTTGATTAGAAGTTTGTATAGTTACATGTTCATGTTGTCTGTAGTTGTTTCCGTATGCCTGGCCTGGCATGTTGGGAACAGGTTAATTTTAGTAAGAAAGATGTACTTTGTTTGCTTTATTATTTTTCGGAAATGAATTTTAGGGATGTACAGGACTAAGCATTAAAAGCTGCTTTTCTTGGCAGCAATAAAAAAGGAGAAATATTATTGTGAGCTTGCATGTAAATTGTGCCTCATATTTTTCCTTCCTACTACACAGTGTTGTCTTTTGTTTGTTTTCGCTTTTATATTTGTGAATTATTTTTCTTCCTCATAGTTTCATAATTCAAAAGGAAAATAAGTACACTGCACCTCTTTGTGGTCTGTGTAGATTTTTTCTAATCTTTTAATAACAGTTGTACTTACCTATCGGAAGAAAAGAAACTGAAAAAAACAAGGATGCAAGCTTCTTGTTTTTACCTTCTTTGCAGTGCTTACTTTCCTTCAGCCAACTGTAAAAGGTGCATAATAATTTGAACTGGAGTTGATTTTGTTTTGATTATTGTTTTTATACGTCATAGACTTAAACACTATGCATAGTCTGGTCTTGTTTATCATTGATTTATGTATTTGAACCTTGTTGTGATATTAATTTTACTTAGAAATTCACTCTCTTTTGAAGACTGTCATTAAACAGCTTTTAAATTATTCGTTGTTATTGTGTGGACGTCGATAGTTTATAACCTTTAAGAGGCAATTTCACGGTCAAACCTTGCGACTACCTCTCGTAAGCGATCAGTAGTATAGCGACCACCAGTGGAAATAACTTGTCTATGGACTCTGACAGGCTTCTTACAGAGTCTTGTCTTGGCTATTGCCAAGCAATTATCCAGACCTGAAACAAGTCTGGAAAATAGAGGTTAAGGTGATTCCTTAGTAAAAGAACGTAACATAGATTGTAGATGAAACTTGGTACACTGATGTAACAAGTCAAGAAGATGATAATAAGTATAAAAAGTGGGGGTCACCGTGCTTGTTTTGACGTCACAATGCTGACAAATACGGCTATTTGGGACCCTTTGGCAAAAGCCGCGCGCAGCCCAAAACTAGACAAAAAGGAGACATTTTTTCGATGATGCATGTGGTATCGCACAGAATTTGACTTGAATGTATTGTTTATCCACTTACGTGACAGAAAAATGCCTTTTAATGCCCTTGTTTTTACTTTACGCTCCAAAGTAGAATTAAATTGGACACGCGCTATTCGACCCGTGATAGCTCAATCCGTACAATTTAGTAAAATTGCCAAAAAACTGAACATAGATTTGTGCCAATTTTTTTCTCATCGAAAGGAAGCACCGTCCTTATTAAAATCATGAAATAAAAACTGGGGGTCACCGTACTCGGTTTTGCGGCAGAGCTGCAGAAAGTGCGCACCAAATGCATTTTCTCTGATTTTTGAGAGAGGACTGGGGCGAGTTTCAAAATATAATGTATGTGAAAGGGGGAAGAAAGTATCACGAGATATCACATTTAGGACACAATGTGATAAAGGAAGCGTTTAAATGAAAATCAAAGTGAGTAAGCACAATTCAAACATCACTACCGAGGTTGTCCGTGAGGAAGTCGAACTCAGCAACACGCGTACTGCTTACGTTATGCACATTCCCAACACATTGAGTCTCACCTCTGCAAGAAACAACCGCAAGCAAAAATTCCAATAGCGTTTCTCTTCAGTCAACGTCATTTTAATAATGTTACTTCACATGCTCTTTTATACGGCGGACATCTTGTTATGCGCAGTAAGAGATGCGCAGTGCAAAACCAGGGAATCACCTTAAGTCTGGAAAAATGGTAAAAAGCGTTGATTTTTTTTTTCAAATCTACAACTGCTTTACATTTGAATTTTTTTTCGTTTTGGTGAAATCGTGTACATTCATATTTGCAGCGCACCATAAGGAAAGGTATGTTCCTAGGTCTTTTAAGGTCGCTATTGATCAACTATTTGATAACCTTGAATCTGGAAAAAAGAACTTAAGAGCCATTATCTGAGAAAATCGAGAATCGCACGACACTCGTCAAAAAATCGAATTTTTTTTTATTTTGTCAAAACATCCCTTTTAGTGACCTTATTTAAGGAAAAATAGTTTTGGGTTCAAACGATTCATTTTAAAGGAGAAATTAAAAAAAGTTTGAAAAATCGATTTTATTCCTGTTTTTCGAACAAAACACGGCAGGATGCAATGGCAACTTCGAGAGAAGGGTGAACGCGTAAGAAACATTCCCTGACATTGAAACTTCACCGAATTATTATTTTGTTCTTACTCTTGAAAACATTAAAAGAAAATTTGATAAACAATGCTTTACATTTTTATAATCGACAAGTGTAAAGAGGTCATATTTGTGACGTTAGACGTGCTAGAAAATGAAGGCCAACTTTGACTATTAAAAAAGGCCTCTGGTATATGCCGCTTGATCATAAGATCAATATAAAATGGAACCTTGGCTTTTGTACTAACTTACTGGAAAGTTTTAGCTCTGGAAATCAAATATCATCCTGACACCAAAGCAAGCGGTGAGAGCAATTGAATTGGGAAATTTATGCAAATTAGACGGCTTGCGGACGGTTGTCAAACTAAAAAGAAAGGTTTTACATGAAAGGATTACTCACCATTGCTTGTAACACGTTTTTACGGCAAGGAAAGTTATTTCCAACTTCTTTTGCGTCGTTTTGAGTCACAAAATAAATAATTTTTAGCCAAAAGACAAACGTACGTTTGCTCAGCAACTGCGTCCGAATCCGGCCGTGAATCGAAAGTCCCAACACGTCGAAGCAAGAGTTACAAGAGTTTTTACTTCAGTCAGGAGGCAAAAGGAATAAAAATTCATCGCAAACTAATGACTTCGATTTTGAAAACCTTTCATCACTTCAATCGTTAGTCGGCTGATAATAAACATCGCACAAGATCGTATGACCTTTGGCGTGTGACCGGAAATTGGTCACACGCTTTAGTCACGTCAGCATGCTGTCACGAAATTTTCGTAGCTGTTGTCAGCAATTTTAATACAGTTTTCACATTTTTTGACAAGAATTCCCCTCATCGCAGTAGAAACAGCCATGCATATTTATTTTTCTTTTATTTACCTACTAGGCTTTGAAACAGCTTTTTTGCCTTCGAAGTACCAAACAGGAGGGGTACCTCGGATTCCAAGTGTCGTGAGTGACCCGTGGAAGCGAAAATCAAGACCAAAAAAGAACGAATATTTTGAATACTTAAGTAAAGCCACAGCTAAAAAAAAAATTTGTTCAAAATATTTTCAAAACAAGAAAAAAACATACTTCGATCATCCCCGTGACTTGAATCTGGCCAGGGTACCCCTCCCCTCCCCTCCTCCCCTATGCCGGGTCAAAATACTAAGTTCCCCCGGCCCAATGTCCCATAGTCAAGGGAGTATACTCTCTTGCTGTAGTAAAGAACTTGCAGAATAATACCAATTCTCCGTGGCCAACGGATTCAACGCTATAGTTTACTTTGGTTTTCGCTATTTGCTCACGATCAGGAGCCTATAACCCCAACCGCGACCAAATTATGAAACCTGTTATTACCAGAAAAAAAAAAACACAAAGAAACAGTCAGTCAGATAGACAGTACATAATAAAAAAGACCTCGATTAAGATTAAAAAAAATCAAGACATGACACTGTCGAATACGAAAACCCAGAAACCATTTTGTGGAAAAAAGGTTCGTATACAGCTATCAGCTGCTTTTGTCCACAACTCGCCGGTAGAGGTGCGCGGAAACTAGTGATTGTGAAATGGCTTCAAACTATGATCCTATAATGTTGGAATATTACTTACGACGGAAAGCTACATCTGATTTCTTCTAGCAGACACAATCCTCTTGGTTCGTGTGGACAAAGTAGCTCATCCCGGTTATTTGCACCATGCTAGCATAGTCTCCCTAGATTCCCAAGCCTCGCACGCAGACTTTCCTGTCCCAAGAACGTTGGGTAGGATTATAGGACGAGCCAAAAGAAAGTGAAGGCTATAGGCTCTCGCGATGATGCAAGGAAGGTCGAGTATTATATTCCCCTATCCAGGTCGCCCAGGGTAAGTCTTCGGAGGAGAGTGACTTAGGGGCAGTATGTTCGAACAGTTGACTAACGCCCCCGGAACTAACGCTTTCCCCTGGATAAATCTATATCCAATAAGTAACGCAATTGCTTCATCTTATTCGCTTGATAGTGATTTCCTGTTGTTCAACGTTTGAACAACAGGACCCTAAGTATTGTGTTTCGCCTTGCACTAAAAACCCATAAACCTTATAAATTTCACTATGGGACTTCAGCACCTGCCTTGAATGATCCATTTCGCTAAACGGGACCTCAAAACAACGATTCTGTGCATCCTAAGGGAGTGTATACTACACGTTCCTGGCTCTCCTCACTCACCGTGAGGTGATGGTGGCTCATACTCTAATAGACCTAACACAGTCGAACCTCCATGTGCGACCGCCAATCCAAAAGACCAAATTTTCCCATTCAAAGCCTTATATTTGGATTAACCTCCAGTAAACGACCTTCTGTAAGTGACTGCGACCACTTTTTGGGTTAATTGTTTTCCATAAGCGACCAGTTGACGCATTCTCTGCTCTCTATTTTTGCTGTGTGCACTATGTTCCTTGGAAAATATGAAGACCTTTAGTGACATCG